TTAAAAGAACCAAAGACTTAAACTACTTCAGTCTGTGTGCATTGAATTTATTTAATACACGAGTTTCACAATTTGAGTGGAATTACTGAAATAAATTAACTTTTCCACTACATTCTAATTTATTGAGATGCACCTGTATATAACAACCACTCAAATCCTTCTCTAATCGCCGAGTATTGTATAGCGTTTATCACTGTCCTAGCGATAGCTACTCTACGGAGCCAGTTTCTAGTTTTCATAGTCTAGTCATAGTCTTGCCTTGCCTGTTTTCTCGTATTCTGATTCATGCCTGTGTTTCTTGGATTAACCCGGAATCTGTTTGTACCTCGCCTGGACTATTGCTCGTGTTTCTGGATTACCCCTCTTGTCAAGCCCTCTGGATAACGTTCGCTGTCGACTGACTCATGCCCGTTTTGGATTGCTCTTGTCTCGTCTGTGCCATACCTGTTTGCTGATGTTTTGATTCTGCCTGCTTCTGACCATGTCTCTGAATAAAGCTATGCATATGGATCCGCACGTCTCTCATCTCGTTCGCCCCGTTACATTAATTTTATGTCAGGTGATAGTTTGTCGGTAACACTTTGTTTTAAGGACCAATTCTCACTATTAACTAGTAGCTTATTAGCATGCATTTTACTAGCATATTGACTGTTTATTAGTACTTATAAAGCACATATTAATGCTTTATTCTGCATGGCCATATTTTTATCTAACATATTTAATGCCATTACATTTGTTCCTCGAAGACAAAAGAGATATGGTGTGAAAAAAGTGAGTGAGATGCTTGTTTCATGTAACAATAAAAACTGTCACTTTTAAAATGTTTTGAAATTTAAATAGCACATTCCTAAGGAGAAAGTTTATATTGGTGCCTGTAAAGTAGTTTAGATCACCTCCCTTAGGTTGGTCAGAGGGTACAGTGCATAAATAGACAGACACTTAAGGTTTACACATGGGTCAGTGAGTCCATAACAGTAAATGTGTGAGCCAGTCTGGCCATGCGTGTGGGTTGCAAGTTTTGTCTGCATGCATGGGGTCTTGAGCAAATTTGTTTTATGTAATTTTTTTCTCTGCTTTTATGTTGACAGACTGCTTTCTATACTGTGTACAAGAATGTCAGTATCACACTGATCATTTTAGATACAGATTTCAACAGTATTAAACATTTACTGGGGAAAGTCAATACTGTACACGGAAAAAGAAAATATTTTTTACATTTATTTTTGAACAAAATGTGTTACATGCAAACTGAAAATGTACACTTGCTTGTTCATTTTCACACACTCCGTTACATGTACAGTGTATCTTCCCCTTACACCACCACCATCACACATTTTACATGTCTTCCTATTGCTCTTCCACAACAAGCAACTGTGAATTTTCAGTGTACATGTAACACAATCTCTACAGATAAATGTAGGCTACTCTATAAATGCAAATGTAGCCTACTTACAGAGTACTACAAATGGCCTGCCATTGTAATAGGCATAATTTTGGAAACATATATGGAGCTTGCCCAGCACAATCACAAACATTTTTGATAGATAGATAGATAGATAGATAGATAGATAGATAGATAGATAGATAGGGAAGGCTACTGCAACTCTTTAATAATATATGAATTTTCCATTACTGCTTTAAACAAAGGGCTCAAATGGAGGACTGCACCTATCTAATTTCAGCGGTCTAGCTGTATTGTAGGCTATAATTTTGTTCGGTTTTATTATTTGTATTATTTGAATAAATCCACCCAAGTGACTGAGAATTATAGTGCCATTATGTAAAGTGCCATAGTGCATTAACGAACATGTACTTTGATGAAATGGTCAAGAGAACATTGTAGTAAAATTAAATTTTTTTTTTTTTTATAAAACGACTTTTTATTTTTGGGGGAAAAAAATATTTCACCTCATTTTTTGGGAGCTTGGGGATCCCTGATAATATATCCTTAGGGCTGCAATTTATCAGCTGATAGGCTTGATTATCTGTGGCAGCATAATAATAATAATAATAATAATAATAATAATAAATTACACACATAATGCACATTCTTAGAAGTTTTCAGAGCTCATAAACATAAAATTCATAGGAGGACTTGAATGCACCATATGGTTCTAATATGCATCCACACTTTAGTATGATAGGCCTATTGCCTGAACAAAAGTGCTCTTAACTGCACAATGTTGCCCTGAGGTAACAAACAAAAAAACAGTTTTAGTATATAAATAAAAAACAAAATAAGTATTTTAATAATCAAACATACTTATTTACATATTGATGCACATGCATGTATTTTTATATAAAGATATTTCATTTTAAACATGTTAAACAGTGCTATTTATCTTACCAATTTGTGGCACTGTGTCCCATGCAGCTTTGCTTCCTAAAATGATCCATCCCCAAACAAAAGGTTACACCCACTTCAGCCCATAATTTTATTGAATAGA